TAACCTCACTGTTCCACTTCCCTCCCTCTCATTCATACACATGTATTCTTTTTTACGACTGACTTATATTCTTCTTCTTTCCAGAGCAGACCTCCACCTTTCCAGGTGTTCCTCTACCTGCTCTCTGCTCTCACTACAGATCACAATGTCATCCGCAAACATCATTGTCCACGGAGATTCCTGTCTGACCTCATCTGTCAACCTGTCCATCACCATAGCAAACAAGAAGGGACTCAAAGCCGATCCTTGATGTAGCCCCACCTCCACCTTGAACTCCTCTGTCTGACCTACAGCACATCTCACTACTGTCGTACTCCTCTCATACATATCCTGATCTACTCTGACGCATTTCTCTGCCACCCCTGACATCCTCATAATCTGTTTTTAAGCACTTTCTGCTGGAGACACAGGAAACACAGCTAATTAATAACTGAACAGATAGAGGCAGACAAAGTGAAGCCTAGATGGCAAGAGAGCAGCAAGAAACCCAGCAACTGTGACTGTTCAGACACAGTGGCAGAGTTTGGAAGAGGAAAAAGGAGAATTAAGGTGAATTAAGGACAAGAGGCTCCAGTATAACATTTCACAACCGAGCCTATGATCTCAGTTAAGACAACTTCAAAAGAATCAGCTTGGTTTGCATTACAGTAAACTCCATCTGCGGGGACCATCGAGCATAACTACTATGATCTAAAGGACATTGTAGCATTTTCCCATGGTGTACACAATTAGTAAAATCTGTCGACATTTACTTGAGTTCACTGTCGTGTTATTAACCTTTCTCTGGCTGTTATAGCAGCTCTCAAAATTCTCAAAATGGTAGTCAAAGACTTCAATATATATGAATCTGAGCAAAGGTTAAAGAAGAAAAAGCCTTGTTGTGTTACCAAGGGAGCAGAACTTTCCTGCTGCTCTCGTCTCATTAACGGTTGTGGGAAGAAACTAATGACAAAGGTCTTTGTTTTATCTGATTAAACAAGAGTAGGAGTATAAAGTTAGCAAACTGTTGTAACAGTGGAGGCAAAATTTTGTCATAACCCGACTTCCTGAAAGTCATAATTCTCAGGGAGCTTCTATCAGTGCTGCTCGTTTATCATTTCTCAAATGTTAATTAAATCCTCTGGGTCCTGAGGAAGCCTGTTGGTATAAGTGTGTGTGTGTGTGTATGTGAGAGAGAGATGCCACATACCTGAGGAAGTGCCTGGACCACTGTGTCTAGAAGGGCTCTCATCCCAGTTGCCATTTTCAACAACTTCAGCACTGAAGAGAAATCACAGCATGAGACATGTATCTTCCACACAAACTTATAGATCTATGTGTGTCTCTGTGTACAACTTTGGACTTGTGTGTTTGGGTGATAAACAATAGACAAGACCTGAAGAATGAGAGAAAGTAAAATAAAGAACAGAAAGATACCACAGAGACAAAGGGGAATGATCAAGACAGATAAGAGGTAGGCAGAGAAAGAGAGGGTGAGAGATAAGAAACGATCAGCAGACAGAATAGGTTTCCTGACTCTCCATTAGAGACTATCCACAGCCCCCAGTGGTCCAATTTCAGGATGAACATGGCTGATGATGCGGTCGGTAGCAGAGAGAAAAAAACCACAGCTGTATTCTGATGGGGAACAGCAAGGGCTGCTCAGATAAAGCATCCAGGGAGACAGGCTTCTCTCAGGATGGTAGATAGTGCATGTGCATGTGAGAGGGAGGTGATGTGTGTGGTTGGAGCAGCTCTACATCATTACTCAGCGCTGTTAGGCCTTTTTCTTCAAACTCCTAGACAACAACATCACTTAGAAGCAGGCAGTTCTGTTTTGGTTAAATCTTTGATGCAACATTTCTTTACATTTGTCACAGACTTGTTAATTAGTTAAATGAACTTAATGTATATCTTTCACTTGAGACTGGATCTGTCCCTGGTTATTTGAAACATGCGATTGTAATTCCAATTCTTAAAAAAACAGGTCTTGATCAATCTGAGCCAAAGAATTATAGGCCAATATCAAAACTCCCTTTTATGGCTAAGGTCTTGGAAAAAGATGTAGCAGAACAGCTTATTATTTTTATGGAGCAGAATAAACTATTGGATGAATTCCAGTCAGGTTTTCGGAAGATTCATTCCACTGATACCGCTTTGCTAAAAGTATCAAGTGACAAGGATGGCGGCAGACTCCGGTCGCTACACAGTCCTGGTTATGTTAAATTTAACATCTGCTTTTGACACGGTCGATCATGGAATCTTGATTGGTCGGCTTCAGCATGAACTAGGGTTCTCTGGATCTGTCCTCCGGTGGTTCTCTTCGTATCTTAGCAATCGAACTTTTCTCTGGGGTTGACATGGACCTTCTTGCTTTGTTTTCCCACTGTATTTTTTCTGTTAGTCTCTTTTTAGAGGAGGGAGCACACTGCATATGTACACTGAGAGCCACTGTACCGGAATCAAATTCCTTGTGTGTTCAGCATACCTGGTCAATAAAGCTGATTCTGATTCTGTATGGGGAAACAGAACAGGTAACACAATTATCCCCATCTTTGAATGAGCATGGCACTGTTACTGTTGTGTATGAATATAATTTAATATAATATAATACTGCAGGATAGTGCAGCATTATATCACATATTATATTATAAAGTTGATATAGATATTTCTTATTTACATATTCTAAAATCACAAGACAACAGAGCTGTGTGTCTAAATGTCAGGTATAGTATTCACTCTGCTGTTAGCTCTGGCCCCTTTTACACTGCCCATTCAATGCAGGA